ATGAGGGCTGCAGTGCAGCAGCTATGGGACTCCCCAGAACAAGGACAGGGCCTCAGAGACTGAAAAGAGGACACACCCAGGAGGGTCCGTGTGGGGAAGGGTCCGCTGGCACAACCTCCACTGGTCCTGCCCGGCTCGGGCTTGCCTCACACATTAAGTGCCACAGTCATTGGACCCACGGAAGATGTGCTGCCGCTGCTGCCACAGCCAGAGCATCCAGAGCGCGTTGTGTGTCCAGGCACGTCTCTGACGACTCTAACATCACCTTGTTTATTCCTCAGAACCCCCACGAGGCCGGTACCGTGTCTCCCTCACTTTACGGAGGAACCTCTTGCTCGCTCCTCACAGGAGTCCCACGAGGAACTACATTATTCCCATTTCACAGGTGAGGGAACTGAGCCCCAGAGAGTCAGTGACCCGCCCATGATCACATGATAGACGAGTGGCCTGTTTGCTAAACTCTACACCCCAGTGCTAACTGGTCGGCCCAGGGCCTGAAAGGGAAGCGCTGAGGCTACACGGGTGTGGGGGGAGGAAGGGGGCGACACTTGTCATCTGCTCTCACAAGGGGGAAAGGGAGAGGGTCCTCAATCTGCCCGCCTGGGATCCCGCAGGCCCCTGCCTTCCTGGCCGCTGCCCAGGCAGCCACGGGCGGGCGCTGCCACAGCGGCGCTGCAGGGGACGGTTCTGTTCTACTTCCCTTCGAGGGGACCTCTGGTCACTCCCTGTTGTTCTGGAAAGTTAAGCCTTTCCCCCTGGCCTTGTCCAACCAGTGGAAATCCACAAACAAAGCTGTGTTCTGCTTCTGAGCTCCTGGTTCCCATTTCTATTGCTTTTCTGATCCATGTCTGTGCCCGGAGCCCAAGCCCGGGGCTGGCGCTCAGTGAGGTGGGGCACTCACAAAACCACTGCTGGACACACGATGGCTGCTCTGTGCCTCTCAGGCACCCCTCAGCACGGCCCGCTGACCCCACCTCGCCAGCATCCCCAAGGCTTTGTGGGGTGCACTCCCCTGGACTCCCCTCCAGTGCATCCGCACTCCCAAGTTCCCTCCTGTGTCACCGGAACTTTCCTCAATAAAGGAGGAGCACCACTTTACTCCAGGTAATAGTCCAGCTGAGTTGAAGTCCCCGCCTGTTCTGGAAGGAGCTGCCTGCGCCTCATATACCCCCTTGTCTGTGCAGTGACGGATTCACTTCCAGCAGAAAAATAAACAATCCTATTGAAAATGGATTTCCCATAGAAGACATGCAGATGGCCAAGAGGTCCATGAAAAGGTACTCAATATCGCTAATCATCAGAGAAATGCAAATCAAAACCACAGTGAGATAGCACCTCACACCTGCAGAATGGCCATCATTAAAAATCAAGATGACAAATGCCGGAGATGACTTGGAGGAAAGAGAACCCTTGTGCACTGTTGGTGGGATTTCAAATTGTTGCAGCCACTGTGGAAACAGCATGGAGGTTCCCCCCACCCAAAAAATTAAAAATATAACTGCTATCTGATCCCACAATTCCACTTCCATGTTTATCCAATGGAAACAAAAACACTAAGGGTTCCAGGTTCGATTCTAGTCAAGGCCAAGGGCACATGCCCGGGTTGTGGGCTCAGTCCCTGATAGGGGGCATGTAAGAGGCAGCCAATCAATGATTTTCTCTCACCATTGATGCTTCAATCTCTCTCTCCCTCTCCTTTTCTCCCTGAATAAAAATCTCTAAGACTTTTTATAGATACTAACAAGCTGATTCAAAATTTATATGATAATGTAAATGACCTAACATCTTACCTAATAATAGACCAACATATAAATTGACTGTCCTTCCACTGTGCGCTCTAACCAATCAGGAGAGTATGCAAATTAACCCAACAAAGATGGCGTTTAATTTGCATATGTAGCTCTAAGCGGCAGAGCGAAGCCAGACGCCCCCGGGGCCGGCTCCGGCTGAGCCCGGCCAGAGCGCAGGCCTGGGTCCCGGGTGCCAGAGGCAAACCGGTGCCAGCAGCCAAGGGAAGAGAAGGCCTAGTGCACGAATCTCTTCATGCAACAGGCCTCTAGTTCAGTCATAAAAAGGAAGGAAATCCAGCCATTTGTGGCAACATGGATGGACCTGGAGCAGCGGTTCTCAACCTGTGGGGTCGCGACCCCTTTGGCAGTCAAAACGACTGACCCTTTCACAGGGGTAGCCTAAGACCAATCTGCATATCAGATATTTACATGACGATTCATAACAGTAGCGCCATGACAGTTATGAAGTAGCCACGAAATAATTTTATGGTTGGGTCATAACATGAGGAACTGTATTTAAAGGGCCAGAAGGCTGAGAACCACTGCTAGAGGGTATGATGCTAAGTGAGATAAGTCAGAGAAAGACAAATACCATATGATATCACTTAGAGGTGGAATCTATAGGTGGAAGGAGGGGCCTTGGATGAAGGCGATCAAAAGGTACAAGCTGTCAGGTATAAGATAAAACACTGGGATGTCACATAACTACTGGGAACCCGACTGGATGCATATTCGAAAGTGGCTAAGAGAGTAGACCCTAAGACTTCTCATCACAAGAAAAAACACATTTTTTTCTTTTCCTTTTTTTGTTGTATCTATATGAGATGACGGATGTTAACTAAACTTGAGTTTATCATTTCACGATATATATGTCAAGTCATTATGCTGTATATACACTTTAAACTTACACAATGCTATAATTACATCTCAATAAAACTGGAAGAAAAAAGAAATGCCTATCTTTTTAAAAGAATGTACCCAAAGAAGTCAGACCTTTGTTCCCCTCTTGGAAGATAACCTCTAACCTCCTGCAATAAAGAATTTGGCTGTGTTTGGTCATTAGTTTCTGAGAGGTAGCCCCTAAATCCTAGGAATTTCTCAAGTGATAGGAGTCTCGGCCATTCAAGATGAGCTCTGATGGTTTATGCCAGTGATGGCGAACCTATGACACGCGTCTCAGAGGTGACACGCGAACTCATTTTTTTGGTTGGTTTTTCTTTGTTAAATGGCATTTAAATATATAAAATAAATATCAAAAATATAAGTCTTTGTTTTACTATGGTTGCAAATATCAAAAAATTTCTATATGTGACACGGCACCAGAGTTAAGTTAGGGTTTTTCAAAATGCTGACACGCCGAGCTCAAAAGGTTCGCCATCACTGGTTTATGCTAATAAAGCAACTCAAAGTGGGGGGCAGCCACACTATTAAGCTACTGTGATGTCATCAAACCTCCAGGGAAGGGGTGGAGGATGAGGTCAACTGAGTGGCGAGCGATGTAATCAATCATGCCTATGGAATACACCCCAGGAGAACTCTGGCACAGAAGCTGGTGAGCTGGTGCTGGGGGAGCGACTCCGAGGGAGAAGACAGCGGAGCTTTGTGTTTGGGATCCTTCAGATCTCACCACCTGATTGTGTCTGATTGGTATCCTTCTGCTCTAATAAATGTATCGCACTTTCCTGAGGTCTGTGGGTCATTCTAGTACATTATTGAGCCTGAGGGCATCATGGGAACTCTGGAATTCGCAGCCAGTGGCCTGCAGTGAGTGTGGCCTGAAACCCCGGATTCGCAGCTGCTGGGCGAGGGCAGGCTTGCAGAGGCTGTGCCCTTCACTGAGACTTGTGGCCCAACTCCACATAGTTGGTGTCAGAAGCCATTGCCTTGGGTTTGGCAAACGTGTTGCACAGTCCCGAGGGGAGCACCCTAGATGTGGTCAAGGGGCCCTCCTGATACAGGGATCCCCCCTCCTTCACAGAGAGCAGGGCACCTCAACGAGATCCAAAGGCAGGAACATCCTCCGCAGGAATCCTTCCGTGTGACCCTCCAGAGGAAAGCCAGTGAGGGAGGAAGGCGGGGAACCCAGATAAGGGGAGAGGAGCGGAGAGAACAGGAAAGTTCAGGGAGGAAAAGGCATGGCTTGCTGGGGCACAGCAACCCTGCTCCATCGGTGAACATGGGGTGCTCAGCCCCTCACTGGTTCAGGGGAGCTGCACTAACGCAGCAGGTAGGTGGTGGGGCATTGACAAGACATTTGATTTGTAAATCAGGAAGGTTTTCCCAATTCACTGAAGACGTATGTAAGTTCCATTTAAAGAGCAGTCATTCCTGACCGACCTAACATGCTTAGCGCCTCCTTATTATTAGATTATGCAGCCCTAGCCAGTCTGGCTCAACCGGAAGGGTCCTAGGTTCAATTCCGGTCAAGGGCACATACCCAGGTTGTGGGCTTAATCCCCAGTAGGGGGTGTGCAGGAGGCAGCCAATTAGTGATTCTCTCTCATTGATGTTTCTATGTCCCTCCCCCTCTTCCTTCCTCTCTGAAATCAATAAAAATATATATTTTTTAAAAAAATAAAGACTATGCATCTGCTGTGACCCAAACTAAACCCCACCGGGTGTCACCTGCCCTTTACCTAGAGAATGGTATGCCCGTGTGCCACGACAGGAGATAATCTGTGCTTGTCACTTTCCTTCTACCCAGATAAAGAACCCACATCAGCTTTTCCACAAAAGAAAAGTTTCCAAGATGCCACCCATACTTGGAAAAAGCCAGGTTGAAATACCATTCAAGTCAAACTTTCTTGATATTACTCTCTCTTTCCCCGGGAGCACTGCACTACAACAGATTCGGACACCTGTGGCCTCTTCCTTCAAAGCAAAAAGCCAGCAACAACCCCAAGCTGATAAGATTAATCTAAAGAGCAAATTATGGTGTAATTTCCTATGCTGATACTTTGTAGTTAATTTTAAAAAAAGGTTTCATTTTCCTATTGGTCTGATTTCACAGGAACATGTTACCTGTTTCTGTGAGGCATATTTTTCTCCTGGAAGAGAGGCGCTGATTGGCCCCAACCTGGTGTAATGAAAATTTCCAATGTAAACTCATTTTCCCTCCGTTTCAGCAATTTTAAATCTATATATAGAGATATCATTGTCAGAATTGCATTGTTAGCTTCTCCTGGTAAACTAATTGCCTCACACTGTCATTGCAAATAGAGATCGATTAATGGGTCTCACGTCCCAACTGATTCCAGCTCTGATCTGCTTACTAGCATGTACCAGCAACTTCACCCACGGACGCAACACCTTACAAGAGACCATCAAAATGCTGAATGTCCTCACAGCGAAAAAGGTGAGTGAGCTATCTGCCACCATCTCTCCCGATGTGTGGTGATGCTGTGTGTATTTCTTAGACTATGAGAAGAACATAACAGCTTCTAGAGAAGTCAGTAGTTGGTGGATGGGGATGGGAGACTTCTCCCTGGCACTTTTTTTCCCCCCTGCGGGACTGTCGGGAGTTTTCTCAGTTTGAGGGAGTGGGAGCTGCTTGGCAAGGATCGCTCTGCTTAGTTGGAGGTAACTGTATCTCTTGCTCTCTTCTCTTGTTCCTGGCCGCGCCAAGGATCCACGGTGTATGGAGCTGACCGTATCAGACGTCTTGGCTGCCCCAAAGGTAAGAGCTGTCTGGGGTGGTCTGCTTGGCAGACGGGTGACTTGGGACAGGAGAGTCATCGATAAGTGTTTGATCAAGAAATGTATTTCTTAACGGAAAGCGAACAGGCCCAAATTAACTATAAGGTGTTAAATGTTTTCAAAGAATAAGAATTCTGATCTTTACTCTCAAAACATGTTTTGGAGTTTCTGGTGACATTTGATTTAGAGGATGTCTAATAGAGAGCTTGGATTTTGTCAGCCTAATGGAGATCCTGGTCAAGGAAGTGCTCTTTAGGATTCCCCCAGCCCCGGCCTAGGACCTGGGACATAGGAGGTCCTCGTTAAATGCTTATTGAAGGAGAGAATTTTCTGGCCCATACATTTCCGAAAAAACAAATACGCTCACAAAAACAGATATTGAGATTACAGGTTGAGGGAGCTTTCATTTTGTCTAAGAGACTTCCTATGGCAACAGAGAAGGTATTGCCAGAGCCTCATCTTCCGCCGCCTGGTCACCTCGCAGCCCACCGGCTCCGGGGTGCTGTCCAGGGAGCCTCGGCTTGCTCTGTCCTGCCAGCTCCCCTCCGGCCTGGTCCGGAGCCCTCCTGCCAGCTGAGGTCCAACTCATCCCTGCTTCTGGCTGCTTGGGCATCTCGCCTTTCCACCTCCTGTGCGCCTCACCCCCGCCCCTCCATCTGCAGTGGGAGGAGATAGATTTGACAGCTGATAGTGCATGTTCTCTGACAAACACATGACTACAGACATATCAATAGCTTTGTGCACATCAGTTCCTGTTTTCATGGAAACACACGACTGAGAATGAAAAACCCAAAGCTTCAATTTGCCAGTGGTCTCCTAACCACCTGCTTTCCACGTGTGCTGGGGGTGCCTGGCCAGGAGTGAAGCCCCGCGGGCTGGGCAGGGCCATGTCCCAGCACTGAGGCCATAAACAGGCCCATCCTACTTCATGAGAAAAACTACTCTTTGGCCTTTATCTGGATATCATTTCATTAAAGATTATTCCAGGGATCTGATATACAGTAATATATAATATCATAATAGAATTATACATAACATTATATAAAATAAGTGTATAGTATGTAAGTATAAATATTATATAATTTGGTCCTTCAGAATCTCATTATGTATCAGACTCTATCGGTAGGATGGGTTTGGAGATTTTATACCTATAAGATTATATACAGGGTGGGCAAAAGTAGGCTTACATTTGTGAGTACGTGAAACACAGGGTTTATTCTTGTATTATTATTTATTCTTGTATTATTTTCCATACAAACAACTGTAAACCTACTTTTGCCTCATCCTGTATGTTAATGCAATATATTTATATATGTGTGTGTGTGTGTGTGTGTGTATAAATAAAATAGCCAAGAGTCCACAGGTTGTGCTCTGGGCTCCCCAGAGAGCAGCTACATTGCCGAGAGCGCTCTACCAAAGCCAAGGGCAGGCCCTGAAGGAAGTGCAGAGAGTCTGAAAGTGTGGTTTTAGCCCTGGTTCTGCTATTAACTAGTTGTACGGCCTGTGGCAAGTCTCCACACCTCTCTGTGCCTGTTTCCAGATCTGAAGAAATGCTTTTGGCTGGAATGCAACTATTGAGTTAGTGGAAAGTGACGTTGTAAGATGCTTCAACTGTTGATGAAAGAAAACTGGTTGTAGAGAAGCAATAATTCTAAGAGGGAGGGGCCGTGGTTGGAAATGATCAAACCTTCCAAGTCCGGGGGACCCCTCTCTGGCCTGTCTCTAGAAGACCCAGCCACCCCTCAGCCCACTGAGGTGCAGGCCTGGCCACGCTGCTCTCCTCCCAGCCTGGGCCCTCTCTGCACTTGGTTCGAACATACCTCCCTCAGCGCACAGGCAGACATCTCCTTCACCCCACCCTACCGCCAACACCTTCCCCGACCTGCTTCTGTCCCTCCTGATTAACAACCTCATTTTCCTATCTTTCCTTTTACTCAAGACTCAGTGCTCACTTATCTAGGAGGATATTTCAGAACAAGGAAAGGTGGTTCTTTTAAAAATCCACAGAGGCGATATGTGGAAGAGAAAGTTATGCATCCTTGTGTTCCTGAAAAGGAATACCTTTCCGAGATCGTGTATCAGTTTTATTTCTTTTGGGAATCAAAAATTCCTGCATCTCCCTGTTGGATAACATCCTGCTCTGGGCAGTTGCTGGCAAGAATGTGCTGATCTAAGTCCTGGGCTTCACAGGCAATGCCTGCCCAGGCCTCCATGAAGTTAAGGTGGTCTGAGGAAGAGCAAAGTGCAATGCAAGCAAACTGCTGGTCTAGGAAGGATTTCTTGGGTGGACCCTTGAAGGTATTTTCTACCAAAGAGAGCTCAAGTTCATAATTTACAGAAAGCTCTATGTCAACCCCCAATTTATTTTGGAGGGTGGGGGAAGTGAAGGATTTTCTTATACACAGCACTGGCTCACCAAATCTGGGCAGAAGTGTAGATAATGGATATGACACAAATGGGACTGAGTTTTTACAGGCCTGGACGAAGCTAGTGAAGGGCCAAGTTAGAGCTCTATAGGAGTCCCTGCCACAGAAATCTCCCAGGAGGTGCCTGGCTGGTGAGGGAGCTCCCCTGGCCTGCCCCTGGGCCTCCCCTTTGAGTCCCTTTCCCTGTGCAGTTCTGAGCTGCGAGGTCCGCAGGCTGTGAAGTGTGCCCCTGAGCTGGGCTGCACACATGCGGGCAGCGAAAGCTGGACACGCAGCTGAAAGCAGTCAGCATGGGCTGGCTTCCTGTTGCTGCGATACCAATGGAACTAAAACTCTAGCCCTTTGTTTAAAAGGCCTTAAGAATTAGGTTGTTTTGACCTTTTCCCACTTGATCCAAACTCTTTTCAATTCCTCTTTTACCCTAATGGCCTTCAGGAAGTCCTCTGACAAGTATCAGTGGTTCTCAACCTTCCTGATGCCGCGACCCCTTAATACAGTTCCTCATGTTGTGGTGACCCCCAATTTCATTGTTACAAATTGAACATAATTAAAGCATAGTGATTAATCACAAAAACAATATGTAATTATATATGTGTTTTCTGATGGTCTTAGGCGACCCCTGTGAAAGGGTCGTTCGACCCCCAAAGGGGTCGCGACCCACAGGTTGAGAACCGCAGCGATATAGAGGTTTCCCTGTATTATACGGCCATCCATGCAATACTGAGAGGCAGCCCATTCTCTAGGCTCCAAGCCAGCGTTTCTCCAAAGTCTCATTAGGTTTTGATGGAAAAATAAGCCAAGGGGCTCGTCTCCTCTTGGCCCCCTTGAACCTCACTGTTCTCTCTACAGCCACACGGGTCTGCCTCATCTGCGTCCACAGGTGGTATGTCTTCCCCAGGCCTCACCGCCCAGAGGCAGGGTGCTATATGGGAGATTTCTTGGCTCCCTGAGCCCAAAGATACCAGTGCTGCTCTTAAATTTCCAACTGGAATCAGGGCCCAGGACTCTCACCAGCTCATGAAGTGGGTGCCCTTCCAAGGCTGTGCCCATTCCCCCCCCCCGCCCCCCCCCTAGAGGGGGAGGTTCCAGGAAGCTTCTGTAGTTTGGAATTCTGGTGTTTCTAGAATTTTGCCTAGATAATAAGAGATGAACACAGGTATCTACACAGATGACTCACTGCTGCGTTTATTTACAAAAGCAAAAAAAACTGCAATAATAGGGGATTGATCAATTAGGGTACAAATATGCTATGAGTTCCTACAGAGCTCTCAATCCCATGTTCCAGATACTTTTGAATAACTGAATACACCTGTACTATATGTTAAGTGTAAAAAGGTTACAAAACAGTACCAATAGTTGGTCCCTATTTTGAAAAAAAGTATTTTTAAAAACCTGGGAAGATATTTACCAAAATAATAACAGTAATTATCTCTGGCTGGTAAGATAACGAGTGAATTCATTTTTTGTTGCATATATACTATTTTTATAGTAAACTTACATGACCGTGATAACTGTAAGAACATACAGAGCTGCCTGGACAGTGCTTCTCATGTAAATCTCCCCTGGAGCTACTGTAATGCACATTTGTGGTTCAGGGAGTCTGGGTGGGGACTAGGATTCTGCATTTCCAACAAGCTCATGGGTGATGCCTGTGCTGCTGCCCCACGGGCCACGTGCTGAGTGGGAAGGGCCTGGAGCGTGTCCTGAGAGACGCCAGGAGAGCTTCATCTGCTCTGGATCGGACTCGAGTTAAGACCACTCTCCAGACCCTGTGACTTTGCTTTTTAGGGGAAATGAGAGCACACACCAGGCCTGCTTCAGACGGATACACAACTTCTCTCCCAGGTTCCCAGCAAGAGCTGTTTCCCTGCTTGTACGTTCCCTCCTCTAAGGCCCAAATGTCCCCAAGAAGAGGCATGCGGCCAGAGCCCCATCAGAGCTGCCAGCATTCCAAGGAGGTTCTGACCATGTACATGCAAGGTCAAAATCTCCTGACTGCTGCCCCGTCCAAGGCCCAGCTCAATGCTACCCTCTCTCAGATGCTTCCTGATCTCCCAAGGCCAGACTCCTGGGGCACCTCACCAGGATCCTGGCACTCACCTAGCTGCGGGGAAATGTCTTATCTCCTTACTTGGACCCAAGTTTATACACACACTGCTGTCTCCCATGGGGACAGCTAAATGGAGAGTGCGGCCCACAGCAGCACTGTTCAGGCAAAGGATGGGCATCCCGTTATTCAGCACATATGTAGGACTTCCAGGGAGACCTGGGCTTTCAAACCCCATAGGAATGACTGTGAGCTCACGTAGTCATCTTCCACAGAAAGAAGCGGACTTGAGCTCCAGACAGATGGATCTACATTCAAATCCCCACTGTGTCCTCTCCTTAGTTGAGTGACTTTATTAGGCATCCTTTCAGCAAAAACCCTCTAAGACAGTGGTTCTCAACCTTCCTAATGCCGCGACCCTTTAATACAGTTCCTCATGTTGGGGTGACCCCCAACCATAAAATTATTTTCGTTGCTACTTCATAACTGTAATTTTGTTATGAATCATAATGTAAATATCTGATATGCAGGATGTATTTTCATTGTTACAAATTGAACATAATTAAAGCATAGTGATTAATCACAAAAACAATATGTAATTATATATGTGTTTTCCGATGGTCTTAGGTGACCCCTGTGAAAGGGTCGTTTGACCCCCAAAGGGGTCGCGACCCACAGGTTGAGAACCGCTGCTCTAAGGGCAAGGAAACAGGGAGCGTCTGAGGAAAAAGCTGCTGAATTTGCAGATAACTGGGAGCGGGAGAAGCTGTTTGCAGAGGTTTATGGCTGTTGGTGAGCAGCCTTCATTACCATGGCAAGAATCCTTGAATACCTGAGCCTATGTCTGAGCTAACCTGCCTTCATCACTTGTCTTCCTGGAAACCAGAAACCAGAAGGAAAAACCTCTCTCCCATGTTCAGAACAGAGCTAGTGTACAACTATCTGGTATTTCTCTTTCTAGAACACAACTGAGAACGAAACCTTGTGCAGGGCCGCGACAGTGCTCCGGCAGGTCTACAGGCACCACAAGTGCTTGACCAAAATATTGAGCGGACTTGACAGGAACCTCAGCAGCATGGCCAACAAGGTAAGCCGCCTCATGCCAACAGCATGGCTCCCGGCGGACAGCACCTTCACGCCTCAATGCTCCTCCTATGAGTGGTAGCCCCGTTAATCAGCCCATCCATTCATTCAAGCAGTATTTGCTGAGGCTCTATGTGTGCCAGGTGCTGTTCTAGGCACTGGGGATACAGTAGTAGGGAGAAGGCAGAGTCGCTGCCCTCAGAATGTTCCAGTGGGGGAGACAGGAAAGCAAACTAACGTGCCCACGATGTCCAGCAGGGTAAGTGTGCGAAGAACATAGGAATAAAGAACATAGGGGTTAGGAGGAAGAGGCTGATTAGGAGTTGGTGACATCATCTGAGAAGAACTTAAATTACGTGAGGGAGCAGGCCTCATAACTAACTGGAGAAAGAACATTCCTGGCAGGGGGACAGCTGTGCAAAGGCCCTCAGGCAGAAATGAGCTTCATGTGTTCAAAGAGCAGTAGGAGGGCCAGGGTGGCTGGACCAGAGTGAGCAGGGGATTTTAGCGGGAGATCAGATCACACTGGGCCTCTGGACTCTGCCCCAAGTACGGTGGGAAATACCCACCCGGCTTTTAGCAGGACAGAGACTACAATCTGATTTTTGTGACTTAAAAAGATTATTCTGGCTACTGTGTGGTAGACTGAATAGGGAGTGAGCAAGTAGGTCAGGTCACTAGAAGGTCAAGTAAGATGAAGACAGAGATGGCCATCGGATTTGGCATGACAGGGGCATCGGCAAAGCTGATATAAATGGAGATGTGGTAAGGAAAGGCTGACTGAAGTGGGATCCATAGAAAATGGGCAGGGAGGAGTGAGAAAGAAGAGGCAATGAGCACAGAAAAGTCTTCTGAGGTGTTTGCTATAGGTGGCAGAGAAATGGACCAACAGCTGAAGGGCAGGTGTGGAGTGAGGGAAGTTCTTTGAAGGTGGGCTATATACTCAGCATGTGAATGTACTAATGGGCATAGTCCAGTGAGAGGGGAGAACCAACAGTGCAGGAAAGAAGGAGAGCGAAGAGTGGACGTTATCTAATGTATAGTAGAGGAACTGGGCCATTCACCCCTCCCTGGGCTGGTTACCTTATCTATTAGATAAGGTGACAGAATAGGGAGCTGACATTATACTCAATTCTCTTTTAATCCTCTTAATCATCTTATAAAATCCGCACTGTTTTTCCCATTTTACAAAAGAGGAAACTGAAGCATTCTATAAATGAAATGTTTGTCCTAAGAAATATAATAAATAGTAAACTGGTAGAGCTGAGACCCAAACTGAAGCAGTGGCCTGGAATCCTTCCCACGTGGCATGCTGCACGCTGTGTTGTTGCTATTTAATGGGCAGGAGGGCAAATGGACTGAACCTCTCTCAGAAGCCCAGGTGCCCCACAGAAGACCTAGGACAGCAGTGGGCAGGTCTCAGCCTCTACCTTCATGTTAGGCCCCTGAGCAGCACCTAGCAGTGTGTGACACACGTCTCCAGACACTGTGGCACCCTGAAGGCAGATACTGGAAATAGGCAAGCCCTGCTGTCCTCGTGGTGGAGTCAGACTCCCCCTCAATCTAGACTAGAGGCCTGGTTCGATCATTGCTCCGGTGCTAAGTGCCAGAGTGGGCTTGACTGGAGCAGACAGGCAGGACAGCAAGACTCGAGTATTTAGCAATGCAAGCTAATGAAATGTTTCTTTTGTAGACCTCCTGTCCTGTGAACGAAGCCAAGAAGAGGACACTGAAAGACTTCTTGGAAAGGTTAAAGACCATCATGCAAGAGAAATACTCAAAGGGTGGAAGCTGGATATTTTAATTTATGAGTTTTTAATAACCTTATTTTAAAAATATTTATATATTTATAACTCATCATAAAATAAAATATATGTAGACTCTGACAGCATGGTTTCACTTTACTCGCAATGGCACCTTACTTGACAACTTTTGGGGAAACCAATTTAATTTGCTGAGAACCTAGTATGGAAGTAAAAAAGGAAAGATTGCTTTCCTCTCTCTAGCTGCGGACACAATGCACAAAATGCCTAAAGAACACAAGTCCACTTAAGACATAGATGATGAGAGCGAGCTGCAGAGTGGGCCCATGAGTCCTGCTGACGACAATTCTGAATGGAGAAGGTGTCCCCTGGGTGCTTAGAACATGCTTCTCTCATCGGCACAGGGTTGTTACATTGAGACTATAGACAGTGATGGCGAACCTATGACACGCGTGTCAGAGGTGACACGCGAACTCATTTTTTTGGTTGATTTTTCTTTGTTAAATGGCATTTAAATATATAAAATAAATATCAAAAATATAAGTCTTTGTTTTACTATGGCTGCAAATATCAAAAAATTTCTATATGTGACACGGCACCAGAGTTAAGTTAGGGTTTTTCAAAATGCTGACACGCCGAGCTCAAAGGTTCGCCATCACTGCTCTAGGGGAAAGTAATTTTATCACACTACATGACTCTGCAGTGAATCATGTTTAAAGCTCTAATAGTGTAAATTATCTTGATTCTCAAGTCTTAGAATCAACAAAGCACAGAAGAATTATGGTTACAGAACAGACTGCAAATGCTACCAACCTGACACTCTAAAAGGTATAGCTGAATATGGTTGAGAGGTAAAAGAGGAGGGAAAGAATGAGAGGTGGGGACCTAATATCCCTAGCCCACTCAGCGACGGAGGCCGTTAAGCAATACTGTCTACGGTTGATAGAATGAGAACGAGATTTAAGTATTTATTCAAAATTGCAAAGGTAATAGTGTGCAGCGCCAGCACGGCCAAGGGTGAACCTGAGTGGGGGCGGCTGAAAGGCTTAGAAAAGACAGACAAGAGAATGAAAGCTGGGTCTCAGTGGGACGCTGCTTCTCTGAGAGATAGCGCCAACGCCCACAGCCATGCCTTTATTTTATAGCAGATGCCACAAAGCAAAGTAAGGGCGTGATCAAGATGTTTACAACATTCTCCTGGGTTTCAACCCTACTCAACTACATGCACCTGAACTCTATCAAGCCCACATCACTCAGGCACATGGGGCCATGTGTTTGGACCATAGGTTCAAGCTTACAACCATAGCTGTTGGCTATAATTGTGCTGGGAGGGCCCTGCCCTCCAAGCTGGGACTTGCACATGGCAATGAGAAGACTGTGCCCTCTCATCAGTCCAAGGCTTGAACCTGTCCAAAACACTGTAGCGGCACCCCACATAATAGAAGATCTAAAAATAATCATATATATATATGATATAAGCCTAAACAAGAGTTACGCCCGAATGACCGGAAAAACCTAACAACTGGTCACTATGGCATGCACTGACCATCAGGGGGTAGACGCTCAATGCAGGAGCTGCCCCTGGTTGTCAGTGCGCTCCCACAGGGGGAATGCTGCTCAGTGAGAAGCTGGACTAATGGCAGCGCTACCGAGAGGTGGCAGACGCAGCGGCCGGGGTGAGCACGAGTGGCAAGGCACCTGGCCCCAGCTTGGGCTCCTCCCTGGCCACCTGCGCACTGCGAGGAATTCCGGACTGCGAGAGGGCACAGGCCAGGCTGAGGGACACCCCCCTCCGCTGCACAAACCCATGCACCGGGCCTCTAGTTTACTATAAAACATTTGGAACAGTAAATTAGTGAGGTAAACCCTCACTTTCCAATAAGGAAACCAACACATACTAGTATCTGAAGTTGATAAATCAAAAAATAGTTGGCAAGAGTGATCATGAGTTGATTGTGGTAGCTAGAGATGAGTACATGGGGGTTAATTGTTCTACCCTGCTTTTATACATGTTTGAAAGTTCTTATCATAAAAAGTGTGTGTGGGGGGATCAATAGTGAGTGAATAAAGAGATTATTGGTATTATCATGGTAGCCAAAGGAAAACTAAACACAAAAAAGGGAAGGAGTTTGCTGGGAATGGGACTTGGGTAAGGGAGGAGGCGGATGGCTATTTTAAATCTGTGTGTGACCATGTACACAAACGATAACATGTTTTTAAACATTAAAAAAAAAAACTAAAGTTAAAAAGACAGATGATCACAAACATTGGTGAAGATGTGGGAAAATCGGAATTCTCAGGCATTGCTGGTGTGACTGGAAAATGGTACAGGCACTTTTGGAAACTGCAGCCGCTCCTCAAAAGTCTAAACTTGTTACTGCAAGGACCGGCAATTCCAACCCTAGGCGTCTATCCAGGAGAACGGGGAGCACATGCCCACACACACACCTCTACCCAAATGCTCACAGCAGCATTACTCATAATAACAAAAAATCAGAAACAACCCAATGGTCAATCGACGGATGAATGGACAGACAACAGGTGGTATATCCACACCACAAAATATTACCGGGCGATAATAAATGAGGTGCACGTGCTACAATGTGGGTGAACCTTGGAAACATGATGCTAAATGGAAGAAGCCAGACACAAAAGGCCACATAGAGTACGATCCCATTTATATGAAATGTCCAGGAGAGGCAAATCCATAGAGGCAAAATGGAGAATACTGGCTGCTCGTATGTGAGTTATAGCTCAATAAAGCCGTTATTTTAAAAAATTAAAGGGGAAGAAAATTAGTGTCAAGTCACGGAAACTTGCCTTTGAAGACATGTTCTCTGCAAGAATATGGATCTAAAACAGTGAATGAGCATTCTTTTCATCTTCGCGTACACGTGATAAAAATTAATACTAGTACTAAAATTATACCAACACATGTAACATCTTTTTAACTCTTTCAAAATAAGGGAACAAATCAAAAGCTTAAAGTCTCACCCTGACCACAGCCAGTTTCACCCTGCCCACATAAAATACCAGCATGCCCAGGGCAACCAGTAACTAAGTCATGGAGCCTTCAAGGCCCCACTGAAATACGAGTTTCCCTTCTTCTTTGATTGAGGCACATTTGCATTCAATGGCTAATGTGAGCTGTAGTCTGCCACAGGATATGAGCTGTGGGCTGCAGTTTGTGTGCGAGGCCAGGGTGGTAGAGAAGGGCTGAGGGGAAGAGGTGTTTTAGATGGGCCACAGCAAGGACAGAGGCAGGCTCCACGCAGGTCTGTCATAAGATAAGCTTCAATGGTTATGATGCAACTAACTCTCTACTTACTTCCTGACAAGTGATGCTGGGCTCTGGGTGGAAACACTCAACAATAAGCCCTTGTTTACCAAGGGAGTGAGACAACATGAATTGAGGCCACACATCAAAAGTATGAGTGCAGGAACTTTAGGATCAAGTGAAAGTTGAGATGCTTGTCATTTAAACACATTCACTTAGGAAACTTAGCCACAGCCCATGCCTGCTTCATGCAACATGCCTCTTGCCTGTGCATGGAATGGGTACGTTGACAGCAAAGATTGAACCCCTTCCTCCCACTAGCAGCTACCTCCTACCTTTTACCTGTGAATATATTATATCTCTAACTGGCATTAGTAGGTAATAAATACCTATTAAACAAATAAGTGAAAGAAAAAAACATTTCCATTTCACCTATATGTGGAATCTAAAGAAAATAAATGAACAAAATTGAAATAGACTCATAGATACAGAGAACAAACTGAAGGGTGTCAGAGGGGAGGTGAGTGGGGGTCTGGGTGAAAAAGGTGAAGGGATTAAGAAGTACAGTCAGGGGGATGGAAAGTACAGCATGGGGACTATAGTCAATAATATTGTAATAACTATGTATGTTGCCAGGTGGGTACTGGAAATACCAGGGGGATCACTTTGTGAATGTCTGTCTCCCGCGGTTCTCAACCTGTGGGTTGCGACCCTTTCACCTAAGACCATTGGAAAACACATATATAATTACATATTGTTTTTGTGATTAATCACTATGCTTTAATTATGTTCAATTTGTAACAATGAAATTGGGGCTCACAACATGAGGAACTGTATTAAAGGGTCACGGCATTAGGAAGGTTGAGAACCACTAAACTCTAAACACTATGCTGTACCCCTGAAACTAACAGAAAATAATACTGAATATAAACTGTAATTTTTAAAAAACCATGCAACCTAATAAGAGAAAAAACAAGTTTCACTCAATCTATGGCTGACTGACTTTTACTGAGACATTCTTGGCCCAATTAGAAAAGTTGGCCTCGATAAAATGCATCAGGGGCTCTCTTGCTGCTGCTATTGATGGATGTGTCCATCCGGTTAACTGGCCCTGTTTTCCCCCCACCTTTCCCCACAGCGCCCAGACCATCTGAGACTGAGGAATCCTGTGGCAGAGTGTGTGCACAGCTCTCTCAGGGAGCAGGGTGCCGCGGCCTCTTAGCATGCAGGGTGAGCTCTGGTTCCTACCAGCTTCCCCAGAGGTGGAGTGAGCACTTATTCTAGTCTAGTGGTTCTCAACCTTGGCTGCACATTAGAATCACCTGGGAATCTTCTTAAAATCCTGATTTCTGGGCCTCATCCTCCAGAAATTATGTTTCTTTGTTATGGGGTGAGGCCACAACATTAGTAACAAAGAAACAGAATTTCCGGAGGATGAGGCCCAGAAATCAGGATTTTAAGAAGATTCCCAAGTGATTCTAATGTGCAGCCAAGGTTGAGAACCACTGCTCTCGGGGCTGATTCATTGGTTCAACTTGCAGTTCATTAGGGCTCCCATTCCCAGGTGGAAACTCCTGTTCCTGTCATGCCTAGTATTTCCTGAACGGGTCTCTGCCCCAAGCACTCCGACATTCTCTCTCCAGCTCTCTGAAGTGTTTATCTTCTAATGCGTCCTTCCTGGCCACTTCTTCTTAGTTCGACTTCCAGTCTCCAAGCAGTCTATCCCTTTCTGTTTCCAATAGCCAGTAGAAGCCCAAACACAAG